TTAATATTAAAGAAAGTCCTAACAAAATGGAGATAAAAGTGGAGAGTAACAGAAGGAAATAAAGGGTAGAGAGATTATATCTTTCCTTATAAGACAATATGCCAGGGCACAGAATGATGTGTAATAACACCTGGTGTTTCTGTGAAAGCTTCCAAGTCACAGATTCTGGCTGTAGAACTGCACTGCAGGCCATAAAGGCAATGTGGTGCCAGCATTACAAGGTTGGTGTTAAAAGGAAAGGATTTATCCTCTTTAAGAAAGAAGGGATCATAAAAATTCAGAACCATTTTAAGGCCAATGTTCAGTTTCTAGACCACAGGAGAGAGAGGAGAGGCTGCCTGGAAAAATCCTCGGCACCACCAGGCTGGAAAGTTGTATTTGTTTGAATATTTCTAGAACAATATGTATTTAAGAAAAGAAACATTCTGTAGTTATTGTAGAATCAGACCATCACTCCTAAACACCCTTAAAAGAGTAAATAGGAAGCACTTTCCATCACGTACAAGGGGAAAATTTCTGCTAATGCAAAACATTTTCCTATTCATGATCATTCAGGAATGCTTTGGCAAATAACTTACACAACTACTCTATTTTTGCCTGGAAGTGCCTAAAAAAGCTTATAAACATATGATTTTCAGACTGGATACAAACCTGAGAACAACCTGAAGCTGCAAGCACATTTTCTAATTCTTTAACCAAAATTGCAAGAAGTCCTTAGCTATAAATGAATGAAATAAGCTAATGAATAAGGTATTAAAATAAATTATTACGGTAGAACTCACAATCTCTTTTAGACATCTACCAGTTTAGGGCACTGAAGTCAGCAGTTCTGCTCAAAATAAATGAGAAGTGCCTGCTTTGGAATAGACACTCAGCTCCATTACCTTCCTCACTTTCCTCCCTTCCTAAACACTGTGTTTTTTTTATTTACAATGTTTATTAGTGAGTGCAAGACACCTGTCATATACTGTGGTCATTTATATAATTTTATATAAGACACAAATCGGGCAAACTAACGACTCTGTTAAAGTTTGAGATCCAAGTGCAAATGCTGCCTCAAGAAAATGAATATACCTGCACCAGTAAACAGTGGTTGCAAAACCAGACAACTATTCCCAGAACTCCACATGGGAGGAAAACACAGCCCAAAGTCATCTATCTTGGAACAACCAAAGCAGGCTGTATAAAAACACAGAGTATAATGCAAAGCATATTTATTAAACAAGATATTCAATTACTAAAAACACAAGTGTCAGCTGACCAACAGTGACTCCCCTCAGCAGAGATTTAGAATTTCATACAATTCAGGGTATTTTAGAGTAACCAGACACTATTTGTTACAGATAATACTGCTTACATCAATTGTCAACTTGTTTTATTATTCCAGTATAAATTGTTTATGACTACTTGTTACTGTGTTAGTAGAAACACTACATGATGAGGACTATTTAGATGCCTCTACTGTAGAAAGTAAAGTCCATCTATTTTTTAAAAAGTAACCTCTCTCAATACAGTATTAAATCCTAAGATTTCTAACACAGCTATATATTCAGAAAAATCTTACATCCCTCCTCTTTGGTCAGTCCTTCAAAGTCAATTATCCACTACCATAAATTGATATTGTCATACAAAAACCCTCACATATTATAAATTTGAACATGCCAGGAAACTTGATACTTTGCTTTTGCAGTACCAATTGTTCCTTGCACATGTTCATGCACAAGTGTAACCAATCATCTAATGAGATCAGAGCTTCCTAATGTATTGCTTCTAGTGAATTCAGCCCTAAAAATTCAGTGTATTACTGTTCATTAGTAGAAGTTACTCAGTAATTTCCTATGAGATTATATTAATTCCCATGCTACAAGGTCAATAAGCTCAACTGTTTTTCAGTTGCTCAACATGTTCTTCCCAGGAGCTCTTAGCAAAACAAAGTAAAACATTGAAAACAGGCTGCACAAGATGTGGATTGCCAGAGTTTTGATCTTGTAATACCACCTACTAAATGGGAAATAAATAGGGACCACACAACAAGGTTCAGGTCAGAGGCAACAGAAAGCCCCACTCGGGGCACAGCTCTGTCCTTCTTTGCTTTTCTAAACAGTTTAGGCCTTGTCTCAGCTCTGTTGATATGATTTGGTGGCCCCTTTTCCATAACCTTTAAAAACACACGTTCCCACAGGGACAGGCTCCTGGAATGATTTTCCATTCCATGAAGAGCAGAATACCACCAAAGTCACTGAGGGTGAGGGCTGGGCTGGAGCTTCTGCAAGAACAAGACCTTCAGCTCTCAACTCACTGAGCTCTACACTGCAGTCAGTGAATTTCCAGAGGAGTTCTGGCACAGGATAAATAAATCCAGCAGCCACCACAGTCCCAATATTCAGGCAGCTCTGTCGATGGCAAGCACAGGTAAGAAGGATCTTTGCAGATCATACACGGAATTCACAGAGGCTACAGGTGGCTGACCTGAAAATTGGGATGCCAAGAGCTTCTGTGCCTACAGTGCAGCCCAGCCTCAGTGCCATTGCCTACAGCTGTTTCCTACCCACAGGCTCTCTGAGCAACCAAATTACAACCTTCACAGCTCCTTGTTGGGTTTGACTCTGCACTCCCTTTTTTACTGTGCCCTCACTCATAGGAACAAACATCACCAATTCTTATCTAAAACACGGAATTCCTTCAAAGTTGTCAACTGAGGATTTTTAAATCTTGAGCTCTTTTTTTCAGACATCTGATAGCAGGGCCAGAGCAAGACCTTTGCAATTCTATTAAGATCAAGCTTCCAACACAATCCTCAGGTCTAAGTTCCCTAGCTTGGCTTCATTTGAGTTCCCTAAACCCTCTATAAACAAAATACACTTTTCTTTTTTTCCTTTATACTTCATATGGACCAGCATAAATTTTGGAGGGAAAAGAAAAAAGAACTCGCCAAGAAAAACTCACCAAACACAAAGAAACCCAAGAATCTTTTATAGTAAGACAGTGAATATAAGGAAAAGGCCAATTAATTTAAAATATTTATAACTTTTTATCAGGGCCAGTCCCAGTTCCACTCACCTCAAGGCCACTGGTGATATTTTCTACTTTATCCCAAGAATATTTTGACTAAAATTTTGAAATTTTAAATGTGTTCAGTAGACCATACTCAACTAGCTAAACCCCTCAAATTGATAAAATAATAGAACAGCCTTTCTTGTGATTTCAGCTCAGAAACAAAATTGAAAAAGCTGACAAGTCTCAGAAGTTGAATGTAGTTAATGGATGGTGAAATTCCAAAGATTTTAATTGATAAAAAGGATCCATCCAAGTTTAGCTAAAGAAAATAAAACAGCTTGAAGCCAACTCAGACTTCTTGCTTAACATACATCCCACTTTGCATCACAACTGCATAAATAAAATGATAAAAAAAGAAAAATCCCAAATCAACATTAAAAATAATTCCTTCCAAAGCATTCTTAAAACTGAAAAAACATGCTGAAAATTCAATAAATTTTCAGAGCTTTTGAAACAAGAAGTCTTACATGAAGGATACTAAATTTAATCCTCTCATTATCTGCCTTGTAAGGAAATTCCTACCACACCACAAATGAAAATGAAGATCAAACCACACAATTTGACCAAGATCACAAAGTATAGACTTGTCTCCAAAACAACTCTTGCAATAAAACAGGAACTGAGTCTTAATATATTCCATGGCTAGAGCTGCATCAGCCTCTGCAGCTCAATATGCTTCAAATCAAGAACTTTACCACAATTTTTCAAAGGACAGACTCTTCTGTCCTGCCACCATGGATTTTTAAATTCACCATGAGATTTTAGATCTCCTAAGTGCTTAAGAGACTTTGGGACACAATCAGTAGTAGAAAACAATAGAAAAATATCAGGTATGAAATTGGAACTTTAATTTTTATCTTTGGATAAAATCTATGTTTTAGTTACAATTGTTACTAGAACAAAGCTTCCAAAAATATGTGCCATGTCCTTTGTCTTGTGCTAAAAAAAATAACCATACTTTGTGGCAGCCAGTAACATTTTACTAACTGGTCATAACAAACTTGGTGGGGCTTTTTTCATCTCTCACTGTGTATGTATTCTATTAATTACTTAAAAAAAAATTACTGGTTTTGATTTAGTGGTACAATGTAGCTGTTCAACTATTTGTAGGACCATTAATCAAGGACTATGGAGTTTTAATTTCTCTCTTGCAACCTCTCCCTTGTATTCTGCATTCCCTACATAAATACATGACTACTTGAGTTTATTTCCAGTATTGCCAACTCCTACAATATCAAAAAAAAAGTCTTTTGGTCATGATTTCTGGTGCTTTTCTTTACATCCTGAATGTTAGTTATGTATTATTTATCTCCTTAACCATATTCTTGTCCTCAGTAATAGAGAAGAAACTTGAGAAGATTGAGCAAATCGTCAGCTTCATGAAGCTCAAAGACACAAGAAGTAAACTTGTTGCTGCATTTTTTAAAATATTATGATTCTTCTAAGGCATTTTTAAGAAGAATTTTTAAGAACCAGATTCTTCCTTGTGAATGGATTTTGAAATAAAATAATTTTTTTACTAAGCCAAAAGCAGAATTAAATGCTTTGGATAAATAATACCAAAAAAATTGTCCATTTTCTCCATTTTCTGCGTATATCACAGATATCATATAGCAACAAAGGCAGATAACTGTACCTTCTTTCTTTAATTCCTCTTAAAACCTAAGCAATATTTTTCTTAAGTAAAATGGTTTATGTTTCATACTTACACTTTTCACAACATTTATGCTCTTTCTATACAACTTAACAAAAAAGATGTTGGAATGTTACTGTGAATGCTGAACTTTAACACCCCCACACCAACAGCACAGTTATGGAACAAATCCTTTGCAGGAAGAAGATTGGACATAGACAAGGA